AGAAACCAGACCTTCACTTACATGGGCAAGTTCTCCATTGACCCTCAGTACCCTGGTGCCAGCTGCTATCCAGAAGGCATCATCAATATTGTGAGTGCAGGCATCCTGCAAGGGGTCACCTCCCCAGCTTCAACCACAGCCTCATCCAGCGTCACATCTGCCTCCCCCAACCCACTGGCCACAGGACCCCTGGGTGTATGCACCATGTCCCAGACTCAGCCTGAGCTGGATCACCTCTACTCTCCACCACCGCCTCCTCCTCCTTATTCTGGCTGTGCAGGAGACCTCTACCAAGACCCTTCTGCGTTCCTATCTGCATCCACAACCTCCACTTCCTCCTCTCTGGCCTACCCACCACCTCCTTCCTACCCATCCCCCAAGCCAGCCACGGACCCAGGTCTCTTCCCCATGATTCCAGACTATCCTGGATTTTTTCCATCTCAGTGCCAGAGAGACCTACATGGTACAGCTGGCCCAGACCGCAAGCCCTTTCCCTGTCCTCTGGACTCCCTGCGGGTACCCCCTCCACTCACTCCACTCTCTACCATCCGTAACTTTACTTTGGCCGGCCCCAGTGCAGGGGTCACAGGACCAGGGGCCAGTGGAGGTAATGAGGGACCCCGACTGCCTGGTAGTGGCTCAGCAGCAGCTGCTGCTGCCGCCTATAACCCACACCACCTGCCACTGCGGCCCATTCTGAGGCCTCGCAAGTACCCCAACAGACCTAGCAAGACACCCGTGCATGAGAGACCCTACCCATGCCCAGCAGAAGGCTGTGACCGACGATTCTCCCGCTCTGATGAGCTGACACGGCATATCCGTATCCATACTGGACATAAGCCCTTCCAGTGTCGGATTTGTATGCGCAACTTCAGCCGGAGTGATCACCTCACCACACACATCCGCACCCACACGGGTGAGAAGCCCTTCGCCTGTGACTACTGTGGCCGCAAGTTTGCCAGGAGTGATGAAAGGAAGCGCCACACCAAGATCCATCTGAGACAGAAGGAGCGGAAAAGCAGTGCCCCCTCCTCCTCAGTGGCAGCCCCCTCCTCAGCTTCCTGCCCTGGGGGCTCACAGGCTGGGGGCAGCCTGTGCAGCAGCAACAACAGCAGTATTGGTGGAGGGCCACTTGCCCCTTGCTCCTCACGAACCCGGACACCTTAAGATGCGACTCAGGCTGACACAGGAGTTGCTCAAGGCCCAAGAGGCTCTTTGTCCATTTGAACTGCACGATAAACACTACCACTCTTCCCTGCTTCTCCCTCTCCTCTTTGAGCAGAGGGCCTTGGTGGAATCCTGCCCTGCCCCTCTTTTCTCTTAGAAGCAAGTCTTTCCTAAAATTTACCTATTTTAGTCTCTCTTAGGTGAGTTGACTATCACCCCAAGGCAATGGGGAAACTCAGAAGAGGGTTGGGCGAGGGTCCCTAGCCTAGAGGGCTGAGATCTGACCCTGCCGTAAAGGGTTGTTTGACTAGGTTTTGTTCCCCCTTCCCTTTATTTTGATCCATTACAGGTTTTTGACCTTGGATGTCAGAGTTGATATGAGACCTTTTTCTACAGTAGGTTGGGAGATGCTGATCCCTTCAAGTGGGGACAGCAAAAAGACAAGCAAAACTGATGTGCACTTTATGGCTTGGGACTGATTTGGGGGACACTGTACAGTGAGTAAAGCATGGCCTTCATGCCACGTTCTGTGGCCCTAGAACAGTGAATCAAAGCTTATTTAGTTGTCTCAACCCTTTAAGCAATATGTATTATAAACTCAGAGAACAGAAGTGCAATGTGATGGGAGGGACATAGCAATATCTGCTCCTTTTTGAGTTGAGAAACGAAAAGACTATATTTTCAGTGTATATCCACTCAGATTTTGTGTATTTTTGATGTGCACTGTTCTCCAAGTTCTGAACCTTCGGGAAAAAAATGTAAAAAGCATTTATGATCTCTTGAAATGAGTCAGAGGTTAATTTATTTAAAGGGGGATGTACATATATTCTCTGAAACTAGGATGCATGCAATTGTGTTGGAAGTGTCCTTGGTGCCTTGTGTGATGTAGACAATGTTACAGGGTCTGCATGTAAATGGGTTGCCTTACTATGGAAAATAAAATCACTCCCTGGGTTAAGTATGGCTGTATATTTCTGCCTATTAATATTTGGAATTTTTTTAGAAAGTATATTTTTGTATGCTCTGTTTTGTGACTTAAAAGTGTTATGTTTGTAGTCAGATTTCAGATAAGAATGTACATAATGTTACTGGAGCCCATTCGTTTGGTTATTAGCTCTTAATAGTTGTGGAAAAATAAATCACCTATTCTAACACCAAACCACTAACTGAAGTTTAGATAATGGATGGTTTATGACTATAGTGTAAATAAATACTTTTCAACAATATTTTTGCTGCAGGAATCATTTATGAAATATTTACTGGGTGGGAATTAAACATTCAGTATCTGTGAAACTACTAAAACACAGCACAAAGCACCTGCGGGTTAATGTGTTTAGATTAAGACGAGACCTGCAAGTTTTCTTTGCTTGCCTATGATGGACACCAGTCCTCTCACTCCAAAGCAATCTCCATTCATAATCAAACACTAGTGTTGTGGGGATTTCCCCCATGCATTAGTGTAAAAGTGGGGAGGCGTTGTTTTGACTCATTGTTCCGTCCTCTTTAACAGCCTATAGCTTCTTTCTGCTCCTGAGTGGGCTCCGGAAAATAAATACTTACAAACAAGTGCCCACTCGGAGACTACACATTTGCAATTGCTTTCAGAACTCTGACCAGGCCCTGGAACTCAGACTCGATGTGGCTTTGTGGAAAGTGTGGTGGCGTGGTCAAGCTGGAAATGACTTTCAGGTTCCAGGATTAGTCTCATGACCACAGAAAACTTTTTGAAAGCACTATCACCTCTTCAGATCAAAAATGCTGTCAGACACTGCTGATGACAGCACTAATGGGTTGCCAGAGGAATTACCCCAGGACTCATTTCTCTCCAGTCTTCATTTCCCAGTTGTTTGCCTTTATTTGGAAGGATCATTCATCTGCCATAGGTTTAGCAGGTTTAAAAGTGACCATCAAAATATCTGGCTTGTTAGATGAGACAGGTAACATTAGCCTTAAAAATTTTCAAAGAATGTCAATCTAAATTAAGTTAGCAAATATAGTTTTCTATGATACTGGACGATTTTTCACAAAATAATATATGACAGGGTTCATTTTACTGGAGGCCTTTTGTAGTGATTTTAAAACACATTCTCTAAAAAATTGTTATTCTATCCACCTTTCATACAAAGCAAACAGATTGAGAAGTCATCATCTTTACTCTAAAATGTGGGTCTCAAAATCATTTAAGTTCACCCATGCTTGGTACACAAATGTAGTATGTTGGGAGTATCCACTGTTCTGCTGCGTTTGACAATCCCTTCATCTGCTTGTCCTTTACTACCATTAGATTCTCTGAGACTTGGTTGAAAATTGATGGCCTATATTTCAGAGTAGCAGACGGCCACAGCCACTCCTGGAAACCACCTTTTGCCCTCAACAGCACTTGAATGTGAAATTCAATTTATGAAGGTAATTAACCCTTTCCTTCTGTATCTTCTTTTTCTATCCCTATTTCAAGGAAGTAAAATCTCTTCCTAGTACTACTAAATAGGGATTTCAAAATATGAGTGTCAGATTTTTTTCTAGTGACTGGTGATTTCCCATTCAATGTATATTTCCTAGCTAACTAGTATATTACCATCCTTATTTATCCAATTTTGATAATATAAAAACTGCTACATTTTGATAATCATTTAAAAAAAATATTTCCTATTAAGATTTCATTATATTAAAACATGGTACAACCAAGGTTTGTACAATAGCTAATCATCTTGCCAAATTTTAATTGCAAACCATCTTCTATCAAGATAACTATTGTTTACAAAGCAATAGATTAAACATTTAAAGACTGAAGACATTTTGATGGTAGCTAAATTGGTCACATAATCACTTTCACCTTGACTTGGGCTTTGTGAGGTAGTCGTAACACACATACCATAAGAACACCACAACTCAGTGCATACTCATCTTCTGGCTTTTATTCCTAGATTTCAACATGTTCGGCCAATATCTTTACTTAGGTTTGTTTGGCCCACTGCTTAAAACATTCAGGGCACTTTTCGAAGTCATTTATTAACTTTGCTCAAGAAATTAGACATGAAAAGATAAGTCAGCTCCTTCTAATCTTTCATATAAGCTTTCTGGAATATTCTTGATGTTTCAGCTGTTTCTATTGGTTTTTATTAAAAAACCAATATCTTCTAGAGAGAAACTCCTTAAGATTTGTAATGCTTTTGAGATGTTTCACTTCATGTCATGAATAGATCCATTTAACCTAAATAAGGTTCTCAAGTGTTCATGAGCCAGGTTATTTAATTTCAACAGCCTAACAGTTACTAAGATTAAGGCAAATGGTTTCATATATTATTTAAAAAACTGCTATAGTAATATTTAATGGTTAAATAAGTTAGCATTTTTTTCTGGAGGCGGGGAAATGGTCACCATCAACACAAGTACCTAAAATGTTGCCAATCTAAACTGCAGCTATACAAATTCCACAGGGGGAAAAATGGAGAGAAGAAAATACTAAAGTCCTAAGATTCTTTCCTTTTAGGATGAAAGTAATTGGTTTTTGTTGTTTGTTTTTTGGTACTGGCTTATTTTCTTTGGGTAAAATACAAAAGAAGCTCTTTTCTGTTATAGCAAAATAGTATGAAATATACTATTTTGCTATAATAGCCATTGTTTCAGTTGTATTTTCAGCCATACTGTTTCAAAGATTATTCTCAAGGAAATTAACTAATTTTTTAAGTTTCTACTATTAATTGGACTTTTGAAATCTGTAGGCCACCAGTTTTTAGTACAACATAATCTTATAGACAGTGAATCTTTAATTGTAATCAAAACATTGATCTAATGTTTTCCTTGTCTATTTTGCAATAATCAAGATTTGCCTCTAAAAATTTAAAACATGCCTTTATTTTCTATAAATACACTGATTTTAATCCGGAAATAAAAATATGCTTGGATTTGAAGATTCCACATCATTAGCAAATGATTTCCAGTGCTCAATGTCAATATGTAACCTTACGTTCTGAATTTACACCTACAGTTATAGGAGTAGCACTGCTCTCAGGCAACAGCAATGGGTAGAGGTCTGAATTACAGATATATTGCTTCTTCCTTGGATAGAGCTAGAGCACAGGATTCAGAATCATAGAGGAGTGATAATAGTGTTCTCCTGAGATGCCAAGACTAAGGCAACTACAAAGAGACAAAGCAAATAAAAAGTGTGCATTCTGAGCAGTTAAGGGATACTGTTGATAAGCTCAGAAAACTCCTGTTGATAAAACATACTACTATCATTTTCATTAATGAACAGCAGCAAGTGTAAATTCAACCCATCAAATTATAGTAAAAAAAAAAAAATCTCAAAATCCTAGGTAGGTACATAATATTCTGCATTCATATAACTGGTCACTGCCATAATTAGGGAATTTTAAATCTTCAGAAGTATTTAGAACTCTCTCATCCATAAGAAGTAATTATTGCATTTATTATTCAACAGAAAAAAAGTTAATTAATATTATTTGCTCACTAGTTTTTCCTAGGGGGAAGATCATTTTTATACCACAGTTGCTACTAAAACAATCTATGTTGCAGAATTATATGGAAATACAGTAGCAGCACACCAAGTCAGTCTTGACTAACAGTTTATGCATAGAGGTGCAAGAATTTTTCTGCACATTTACTTTGTAATGAGCATATTCTGTCTGTAGTGGCTCATTAAAATGTTACATTTTTTCACCATTAATTTACTCAGAATTTATTAGTGAACCAGAAGTTTCTCTATTCTCATTAAACTAGACCAGAAAGAGATCATATTGCCATTTTGGCCTGGAATGATTTATTCCTTTGAAAAGCACCTTAAACTTTTTTCGTACAAATTGCTTATAATTGAGAATGTTAACACTTTTTTTGGTAATTAAGTCTTTCATAATTCTTTATTACTGTTCTATTTCCAGGATGTGTTTCTGTAGGTTAATGAACTCCAAATTGCATTGTAACACATACATTACTATCAACAATCCTTGTATATTAATCAACTTTTGCTACAATGTAATTCACAAGAGTATGTGACTGATAATCACACAATTATGAATACATTTTATTTAGTGAAGTTTTCTAAGAAAATCATCATACCTAGAATTTATTTCAAATTGAAAGTCCTGAAGAGGGGCTTCAGATTGCCCTCAAGGCATTTTAACCCACATTATCAGGAGATCTACAATAAGGTAATTTTAGCAGCCCTGGAGGAAATGCTTGGTATTACACCTGTATCAGGTTTTACAACAGGTTTTCAGTGGCTTGTGGTGTTGCATCTTTTTTGTTTAAGGAAAAAAAAAATCACTCATTAAGAATTTGCTTTTTTTCATACTATTTTAAAAATTGGGAACAAATACTTCTTTACTCTGGGTCTCTGTAATCTAGTATGCATCAAGAGGGAAAGGCACATATTGTTCCCCAATAGGGGCAACACACATTTTTCACCAATACCAGTAAATCCCTTTATTACAGATATTAGAACTCTACTGCCACATGGCCAAGTCAATCAAGAGGACATAGACGACAGCTGGGCAAATTTTAATGTGTTTATTTCTATAGTTTGTTTTTATGAAAAGTTATGTGAAAAAAGGAATCCTATAAATAGTAAAAAGAGGCAAATAGTGCTCTATGGCCTTAAGTAAATTGTGTTAATACATCTGTACATAAGGTAAAGTTGCTCTGGCTACAAAAAGGACAAAAATAAAACTAGAGATAGCACAACTGTTCGTATCAAGAATTGGGAGCAGAAAATATTTCATCCCAAGTTTTGGTGCTCTAAATGGCTAGTAATATAGTTATTTATTATTTCTCCAGGCTAGATCATCTATGCCTTCCACCTCTTGTTTCTGCTTCTTCCTACAGAAATCGACATCAGATGAAACAAATTCACAGCACTCTATTATTTGAGGATGAGGGCTGAGACAACACTGCCAGCAAGGCAGCTAGAACCACAGCCCTCTGAAACAGTAGAGTTCTTGGGAGAATGTGAAACAATATTTATCTACTTTTACAAGAAGATATTGGAAATAAACAGGGGTATGGATTTCAACATTGACTAGAGGTTTTACATTCAGTTTTTTGGAAGCATAACTGATTCAGGTTCTCTGAATCTTCTGGTTAGAAAACACAAGATTACACTATCAACTCATTGAGACAAGAAAAACGTCACTTGAGGATAACATGGTCCTTGCATTTAAGGTGAATCTGCAACAAGAAATCTGCTCAACTCACAGAGATCTGGAGATTGTTGGCGGGGAAGGGAGATGAGCCCTAAGTGACCAGCTCTCTGAGATATGCAGGTGAATTTCTTAGTAGATGCTGCCCCAGTAAACCAGATGTGGCTACTGGGCAAGCGGAAGAAAGAGAATAAATCTTGTCCTTGACATGCATAGTTGTTTTGACAGTGATATCCAAATTCTGAAAAGACGATTTAGTTTTTACACGGAATTAATTAGGCAAGACAACTTACTTTCAAAGTAGCTCAACTCTTAGAACTTGGTTTGTACCAATGACTTGAACTACAAACAATTCAAACCACTGGGTCATGCTCAGTCAATAAGTTAAAACTATAAGGATCAAAAGGTCATAAGGGCAGCAGTGAAAACCAAATCCTATTTACCAAAGGAGTGGGATTAAGAAAATCATTTAGTGTATTCTGTACAGAATGGTTTACCAAGGAAGCATATTTTCATTATGGCTCTAGGATGGAAGCGCTTCAGAGTCCCCAGCCCACTCCCACAGATCAAAGCCCCAGTGGCAATGACAGTACCAGGAAACCTAGCCTCCCGCCCACCCCGCCCCCATAACCGTGCCGGGTGGCTGTGGTCCAGTCGCCCCTGCTTCCCAAGCTGCAGAGGAACCGGCTGTTGCTCACTCCAGTACATCCAACACCCGGCATAGGGGGCAGAGAGAGAGAGAGAGAGCGAGCCCTTGTGGTGGGTCACAGCCAGCCAGGCTGATAAGGGTACGGCACGTCTTCTGCCCAACTCTCCGTGGCGCCTTTTGCTTCAAGGGAAGACCTTGGGACCTGGATAGGGCTCTCCCTCGCACCAGAAGTCATCAGCCTGCGGGGTTTCCAGGAGCCACACCTCTCGGGGCAGGTCACTGGCAGAGCCAGAGGCCTCCTTGGGCCTGACAGGTTCCAGCACCCGGTAATAGTGGCAGTCACGGCCATCGTCCGGGTCGTAGGGTGGGGCCAGGATGTCCAGAAAGGCAGCGGGTCCGTCCACCGCGTCGATCTGGTGCAGGTTGTCCCGGTGAGGGGTGAGGACGCAAGGGCCGCTGGCTTCGGTGTACTCAGCCCGAGAGCGCAATACTCCGGGCCGCACAGCCTCCCGTTCTCGGGCCTGCAGCGGCGGCTCGAACTGCTGCTCTGGCGGCAGGGCCCGTGGTCGCTGCCCGCTGCCCGCCTCCAACTTGTCCATGCAGCTGATGCGCACGGTGCCGTAGAGGACCTTGAGCATACCGTGCATGCCAGGGTGGTCGTGGAGCGGGATGGACGTGCCGCTCTTGAGCAGGAACACGCCAAGGCTGAAGCCGTCAGTCTCGTATATATGCATGTAGGTGACCGGCGGTAGGTTGGGCGACAGCGGTTGCAGCGTGGCCTTACGCGGGGCGATGTTGAGGTCCTCGGCACGGACCTGGGTCAGCAGGCTCTTCAGCTTGCTCAGGTTTTCAAGGAAGCCAGGAGGCATCGGCGCCTCCGGGCCAGACCCCGAGCCAAGGTCGGAAGCGCTGCGGCCACCCCCGCTGCCCCGGAAGGTGAGGCACGCCTGGCGGGCGATCCGTTGGATCAGGGAAGCCATGTTGTCTCGGGGCATGCTCGGCTGTTCTTCCGTGTGCCGGGGCCGGCTCCCTCCTTTCCTCCGACCTTTGCGGTCCGCGGCGGCCGCCACGGTGGCTAGCAGCCCTAGGCGAGGAGGGAGGCCCCGCAACTATCGGCCCGTCGGGCGCGCGGCGCGCCGGCCGCCGCCAACCTCAGCAGTCACGCGCCCGCAACGGCCCAGCGCGCTCGCCTCGCACTCCCTCCCAGCGCGCACGCGCAGGGCGGACAGCCAGCACTCACGCTCGGGAGCAGGTACCGGCCGCGCGACGGGGCCAGGCTTTGCTTTACGCCGGGCGCTCCATTCACGCGGCCCTCACCTACAAAGGCGCCCGGTTGCTCCGAGAGTCCTGCAGAGCATGCCGGGATTTGTAGTCCGCTGTTCCGTCTACGCTCTGTATTTGTTTTGTCGACTGGAAAAGGGCAGGACTATTACACCTGGAGGGAATAAAGCAACTTTTCATGGTTTTAAGGTGTTTTCCTGTTTGAAAAAAGTTGATTGGGATGCAAAAGAAGTAGACCCTTAACTACAACTCCCGGCATCCGCAGCAGGCTGGGTGACTCACTTCCGGCAGCTGGCCAGGGCAGTAGTGGAGGCTCTTGGCCACTGGAAGGAACACGGCAAGAGGGTCGTTAACCTTCTGGCGTCGCTCGGGCCTGGTCAGCTATCCAAAGTCGCCTTGCTTTGCTCTGGCTCCCGAAAAGGAGGCTGTTGAGTCAACCTTAGCTCCTCAGAATCGCCTAGGCGGCACTGTGCATCCATCACGGGCATTGCGGGTCAGCGCATTTGTAAATTTTCTAAGTTTCTTAGGAGGTCAGGGGGTCGAGTCTGTCCCTGGTGACCACCACAGTTACTCAGCACAGCCGGGCCCAGCTGTTGTTTGCATCAAAGCCTGATGACGCTGCTCTTCTGGTTACAGAGCACGATAGTTTCTTGCTGAGAAAATTTGAGAGGTCATTTGTCCGCAGCCATGAATTTTGTATACCACTGGTTATCACACCTTGGTTTGCCTGAGAAGCACCTGTTTAGGGAAAGAGGCTTTTTATAAATGCAGATGCCCTGCTGTCACCGAGAGATGGATTCACTAGGTGATTTTGAGGCATCCTAGGAGAAACAGTGGTATGAAAGAGTCTGGCAGGAGCTTGCGAAGTTAATTTCATGGAGGAATTCCCTGTGACCCTTTGACAGAAGTAAATGATGACTGGAAAAATAAAGCACTGGGTACCATAACTTTAAACTTAATCCTGAGTTTATTGCCCTCTTGGGCTTCCAAAGCTAAACATGGGTTTCTTGTACATTTGGCAATTGGAGTGGCTCAGTAAATTCTTTCCAGTTAAAATAGGCATTCTTTTTTAGTGGGTTACATAACCTGCCTAAAGAATACTCACAATATTCCAGGCACTGTGTTAAGTGCATTATGTAATGAATGTTATATTATTTAATCACCACAGAAACTCTTATTAAAGAGTAGGCACTATTATTATTCCCAGCTTGAAGATGAGTAAGTTGCACAAGCATAGTGTTCAGTAAGTAGTTGCCAAAGCACAAGTAGCAGAACAAAAATAAAGATAGTTTTATGAAAAACAAACAAATAAACAAACAAAAAACCCCAGCTTGAGTTGGTGTAAAAAGCACCAATTGGGAGTCAGGATATTGTCCCCCCCACCTCCAGCTTACTGTGGCACTTAAAAGCTGTGTGTTTTCAGGCACCCAGGTCTTCATTCATTTTGTGGAAAGTTGGTTTTTAGGGTAACAGTAGTTCTGAACCTTAGTCATTCATCAGAGCTCCTATAGAGCTCAAAAGAAAAAATAATGAAAACAGAAAAAAAGAAGAATTTGGAGGTCATACCCCAGAGATTCTAATTCAGAAGAACTGGAAGGAAGGCCAGAATTTTTAAAATGCTTCCCTATGTGATTCTTGCTTATCAACTCAGTTTGGGAACTACTGCTGGATCCGTAGATAGTAAAGCAACTCTTACTATTAGGTAATTCTGATTAAGAGTGTGATTATTTACTTTATAAAAGGATTTTTAAGATTGATTATTTTCCAGGGATTATCATGCCATTATTATATTATTTAAAGAATACTATCAAAATTTCACATGTAGGAAAGTCCCATGAAATCTTTAAAGTGAGAAATATTTAAGAGAAGTATTAACTTTGATTTCTATTTCTATTTCTTGATTTTATTTGTACTAAGGTATAATTAATGGGAGGTATAGACTCCATACTACAGACTTCAGAAACATGCAGATCTATTTGATTTTCAAATCTCTTGCTTTATAGTAACTGTCTTTATTACTTAAATGAAACTCAGTGTTTTTATCTACAAATTGGGATAATATTATACATCTGTGCATCATTGATGGCACCATCTAGAACACAGTAGCTGCTACATTACAATAGCTATTATTATAGTTATATAAAATGGCTAAAAGTGGTACATAGAGACCACTGGATTTCCTTTTGGTCCTTGCTCTCCATCTTTTGGCCTAAGAGTTTAAAATTTCTAAGGACTACCTGTATAAGAAACACCTGACTGTGTTGTCCAAAGTGCAGATTCCCAAATCGTGTTGAAATTTTCCACATCTGAATCTTTTGTACATTGGAGTTTTTAAGAAACACTGAATGACCACAGAGCATGTGGTACTTTCTTAGACCACAGAGAGACCACCTCCATAATTCCTTTGATGCTGCCCTTCAGAGCTGCACTAATGAATGATATTGACCCTAAGGGCTTTTGTCTCTAAGAAGCACTTTGCTTGGCTTTCTGCCCCACTGCCAGCAGCATAAGATGAATAGGTTTCTATTATAATTAATGTTCTTTCTTTATGCTCTTTATTCAGTGTTTCTTAGTGTTTCTGTGAGCAGAATGAAAACCAAAAGAAGTTAAGAAAAGGGGACAGACAATAAAAGAGAAGTAATTTTGAAAGAGTGCTAGAGAAATACATGGTAAAAAAAGGTTTGGGGTAGATGGGATCTATCATCTAATAAATGATGAATATCCACTAGGTGCCAGGCATTGCTCTAGGCTTTGGGGATTCAGCAAGGAACAAAGAAGACAAAGTTTGAATTCCCAAGGAATTTACCTGCAAATTGTATGCTCATATTTGGATGTAGGGGGAGATGTACTGTGGCTTTAATGTGTCCCCCAAAAGTTCATGTACTGGAAATATAATCCCAAAGACATAAATTCATGGTATTTGGGGGTGGGGACTTTGGAAGTAGGATTAGATTAGGTCATGATTAGGTAGGGTCCCCATGATCTTATTAGTGGCTTTATGAGAAGAGGAATAGAGACCTGAGTTTACATGTTTCCCCTTTCCCACCATGTGATTCCTTTAGCCATGTTATGATGCAGCAAGAAGGTTCTTGCCAGATTTAGCATGATACTTTTGGACTTCCCGGTCTTCAGAACTGTAAGGAATACAATTATGTTCTTCATAAATTACCCAGTCTTGGGTATTGTGTTACAGTAGCATAAAATGTTGCTCACTGGTTAAATGCCCCTGGGTTTAATCCCTGGTACTAAAAAAAATAAATGAAATAAAATGGACTAAGACAGGTTGTTACACAGTACAAATAAATGAGCAACATAATTTCAGACAGATATAGCTTAAAGACAATAAAGCAGAGTAATAAGATGGTGTGCTACCTGTATGTGGTATGTTATTTTAAATTTAATTATCGGGAGTTACCAGAAGGTAACATTTAAGCAGCTTCTGAATATCAAGGAGTTAGTCATGGAAAAATTTGAGGTCAGATCATACCAGGATCAAGACAAGAAATAACCCCAAGATTGTTAAATAATATATTAGATAATGTGGTTGTGACCAGTTAGGAAGAAACTTGGTTCCTACCAGTAGAAGGGAAAAATGAAATTCCCTGAAATTAAACTAGATAGTGACGTTCAGGGTTCCTGGAGGGAAATGAAGTTGGAGATACAGGCAATGACCAGATTATGTATGCCTTACAGGCCATGGGAGGGAGTCACAGGGATTTGTTGGCTCTGGTAGGAGATTGGATTTTTATTATTAGTACAGTGAGAAACCTTTGAAGAGCTTTTTGTAGGGGAGTGACTTGATCTGTTTTACATTTTTAAGAGATGGGTGGTGGGACAAGTCTAACAGTAGAGAAACCTAATTGAGAGCAGTAATCCAGAGGAAAGTCAAAAGAACTAATATATAGATTTGGAATCTGTTTGGTAGGTACAACTGACAGGGATTGCTAATGAACTTTTGCTTCAGCTGTCTAATTCAAAATATATTCTCTCCACACTTTGTCTTTAATGAGTCGACAGCTCTGTAGCGATAGGTAAGACTGACAAAGTTTAAATCCTACCTCCTGCCCACATCTATTAAATTTAGGAATGGGGGAAGCACACAGAAGCATGAATAAAGGTGAGATTCTTTTTTTCTTCTTTACAGTTGCTTAATCAGGAAAGGAGATTTGGAAGACCCCCAGCCTATATCTGTTTAACTCCACCTGCTCATTTATAGTATCACTTCATTATTTAGGAGCTAGGCTTATTCTTTTTGTCTTTCATCCTTTTCCTCCTACTCCTGTACTTTGTGAGAACTGATTTTCCTTAATTCACAAGATAAATTACCTCCTCAATCTTACACACATCTTTCTTTAGACTCCATTTTGATAATCTCTTTTGGACACACTGGGATCCAATTGAATAAGTACAAAGGTGTTGACATTCTTAGATGCTTAGGGTTCCTAGCCTGCAGTTTTGTTTTGTCCTTATTCATGAAGTGGGTTTGAAAGTTTTTTTTTTCCTAGTAATCCTTACTCTTATATTTGCCTTTTCCATGATTATAGAACATGGCAAATACATTGATAAAAACTTGTTTGTTTTTAGAATAATTTACATATACTTAGTTGCATTTGAAATATTTTGGGCTCATGACTTTTCTTTCAGATTTTAAAAAATGTTAGCATGTATTTCTCAGCTTATATCATGGATGAATATCAAATTGGAAGAAAAATAAATAACTGCAAAGTCAGAAAAACTGGTGACCTGACTTTATGAGTAGCTATGTTAATTAAGCAAATCACTGACTTCACTAGATGCTAGTTTCTTTATGGTTGTGTAGATGATCTGTAAGGTTTCTTCCAGCATCTCATTAACCCAACAGGGAGGACAGAAATAGTTATAAGGATTATTCAGACAAAACTAAACATGTCTATTTTCTTTCATCTTAATCTTCTTACCCAGTCCATCTCCAGTAAGATCCTATAAGGTATCTCTGCAACTCTAGTTTAGCCCTGTGTAGTTGTCAGAATTCACATCACTGTGGTGTATGGG